TGTGTGTGTGTGTGCTCGTGATACACAGAGAGAGACATACGAGTGCCACGGTGAGGAGAGGGTGAGGGGGCAACAACAACAGGAAAGACGCACACACACGCGCCTCTTCACTCTCACTTCTCCCTCTTAATTGTACCTTAACAAAGAACTTCACTCCCGTTCAGCAATCAAGGACTCCACACGCATACGTATGAGGTCGACAGTTGCTCCCATGTCATCCAATGTGTTGCTCTCGCGCACCATCACAATGTCTTCGTCATACGCCCCACGCGCCTCTTCCTCACAGAGGCCGTGTATTTCCGCCTCCAAGTTCTCCTCGCGCTTGCGCTCACTGTACTTTCGCACCGTCAAGCGCTCAAAGAGAACTTCTGTGGACGCTCGCAGCACAACAACGAGGTGAAACCAGCGCCGTGGGAACAACTCGCTCGAGTGGTAGTCTACCACGCGGTTGCCGCCGTTTACCATGAGAGGCTCCATGTAGTCAAGAAGCCGGTCCTCGTCCTCCTCTTCAACAATATGCGTATCAAGCTCCTTGTCGTACTCACTGTAGAACTCATTGTCCTTGACGATCTTACCCACCTCAATGTGCTTGAATCCCTCCAGCTCCTCTACCAGCAGCTCGGCGAGGGACGTCTTGCCGGTGCCAGGCGTGCCGGTGATGAGAATGTTGATACCCTTGGGGCTCTGCATGGTGGCGTCCGTTGCACTTCCTCGTCGAGCTCTTTGCGCTAGAAGCAGCAACGCGAAGAGGAGAATGATAAGGGGAAAGAAGAGCGTTACATTTCAGCGCGGCATCATCTCGTCACTCGAATGTGCGTGCAAACAACAACAACGACACACACTCACACACAGGGGAATTCAAAACGACAACACGATGCAAACACACGCATACACCCACCCACAGCCGAGGGAGCTGCCGAACAGAGCAACAGTAGCAAGAAGGCCCTTCGTAGCCGTCCCCCCCCCCTCGTTGGCCACCGCCATCACCACAATAAAACACCCATCAGTACTGCGAAGGAAAGTGGGCTATGCGCTCACGCTGCCGCTGCTCGGCACGGAACCTCGCAAACTCCGACTCCATACTGCCCTCGTGGGCGCTCTCTTCGTGCAGCGGCGCACCACGGTGGTTCGCCCACATGTCGAGGGAGAGGTGCTTCATCCTTTGCAACTTCCTTGACGCGAGGCGATGGCTGCGCGACCCGCGGTGCTCCATCCAGCTCTTCTTCAGGACTGCCACGTGACAAGTGGCACACCAGGTCTGGTCCGCCGGCAGAAGCTCCCGCGCCAACTGCGACGGCCTCAGCTGGCGGCCAATGTAACCCTTTCTACTGAGCATTCTCCCTACGTTATCTGCACGCTCGCGAACGAAAATAAAAAACAAAAGAATGAATCGGGCGCAAATACAGAGGAGGAAAAGTAAAACGAAAAATGAATTGCTGAAGTCATAAGGGCGACGAATACCACTGCCGCCTTGGAGCAGCAGCTGACTAGTGCGCTCATCCAGATGACTCCCATTTTCATTTAATCGCTGTGCAAGCATCATCGTAATCAACAGAAGAAGCAGCATAAATAGTGCAAGAAAAGCAAAGAGGTTTCACTTTACAACCACAGCTTCAACCATCGTCTTCTTTTTCCGCCTCCTCCTCCTCCTCCTCCTCTTCATCGGTGCTGCCCAAGCAGAAATCTGGCAGTGATTGCTGCGTGACTAGGATGGGTGACCTATCCCCGCGGCCATGCCGGGCCATGCGGCGCCGCACACCACGCCTGCTGCTGTCACCCATCGCAATGTCAATGTCGTTACGCATCGGCGTTGCGGATGCAGCAACGCTGCTCCCCTCGGGAGCACCATCATACACCGTTGACATGTACGAATCATCGTCCAAGTAGTAAGGCTTTAAAGGGCTGCTTCCCTCCACCAGCTCTGCCGAGCCATCTGGTGGCACACCGCGGCCGGCAGGAGAAAAGAGGTCTTCGATGGGAACTGTGGTGTCATCCTCGTCAAAGCCAAATGTTGTCTTCAGCAGCAGCTGTTCGTGGCGCCACGACGGGGCCTCTGCGATCTCAATAGTATCCACATCATCATTGATGGAGGAGCCAAGTTGCAGGCTCAGAGTGTTGCCGGCGTACGCACACGGCGGCACATCTGACAGGCTAATCAAAGTTCCTACATCTTCTGCTAGTGCTCCTGCTGTATCCTCCTCCTCCTCCTCCCCCCCGTTGCGGCGCCGCTTGACGCCCACGCTCGCCGAAAGCGGGAGGACGACATCTGCGCACAGCGCCGACACCCTCCAGCTGAGGTGGCGCACGAGTTCGCACGGCAGGATGCTGGCACCCGTCACGCCGTCAAATAGGCGGTGCACGTGAATGTTGCGCTTCTTGAGACGCTGGAAGATATCCTCAAACCTCTGCTCGGCGGAGGTGCCGATGCGGAGCAGGCGCTCGCCAACTTTGAGCTCGATGTGTTTCTGCGCCTCTCCGTCGTCGTACGCGCTGTCCGACGCATACGCACGCACGTGGTCTCGCCCAATCAGTGGACGCGTCGTGCTGCCATCCTTCGCAACTACCGGCGACGCACCCTTTGTGGTTTTCTCCATGACGTAGTAGAAGAAGCAGCAGAGATTGTTCTCTGTCACCTCCTCGCCGTCATCCACTGCGTCGTAGACGACGGTGTCATCGTCATGTGCACGGGGCCGCACCCGCGTGAAGTTGCGCACCACCACCCGCGGGTATGCGTCTATCGCCACTCGCCGCGTCTCTGATGATGATGCGGCAGCAACACCGCCGCCGTCCGCCTCCTCCCCACCAGAGCCGCAGCGTGAGCAGTAGTACGCGCCGTTGAAGCCACAGCCACAGCCGTTACCGCACGCCGACTCTCGTGTATGGCGCAGATGCTGTTGTTGTTGTTGTCGTTTTTCCGCGGCTTCCGCGTGGAGGACGGTGTACTGGTTAAGACGGTACTCGACGCCGGCCGCCAACTCCGCGTACGCTGTGCTGCCCCTGTAGAACGGCACGAGGACGTCACCGCGGTAGTCGCGCGCCACACCGTAGCAGCAGCGGCCCCCCGCTCCGGACACCGACGGCGGGCATTGGTACAGGCTGATGCACACAGTGCCGAGCGACACGATGGCGTCCCCCTCACGCATGCATGCGCCGCACTCCGCTCCGCACCGACCACCGCGTTGGCGACCACACCTTCCCCCAGAAACGAAGCCTCTCTATCCACACGCATAAAACAGAACACAGTATAATCAAAAGAGAAATAAAGAGAGAGAGAGAGAGAGAGAGAGAGAGAGAGAGAGAGAGAGACAGAGCGAAATGTGTACGGTACCAGAGAAGAGACAGGGTAATAACATATACGATTTCCCGCTCTTCTATTCAACTCATTAGCCCTTCGCTTTTCCTTCCGCTTTGCGCAGCACCGATTCGCCAAGACACGAGAGGGCGCTGTGCAAAACAAAAGAAAAAAAGGATCATCAACATGAATAGGAGCGGGAGATGCCGTTAAAAATAAATTAAACAAAAAAAACAAGGGCGAGGTGACAGCTGCTACTGGCTGCGCCTCACAAACACACGCATACACAGAGAGATATGCATACACATGGATGTATATACGGCCCTGTGAGGGTACCCACGCAGCACTGTTTGGATCTATCTAATAAGAAATGCTCGCCATGTATATATATATATATATATCTCTGAATCATGGCTGGCCCACAAAGGCAGTGGACACCAATGCCGCCGTTCTCGTCTTGCGCATGCACACATACCCACACATACTCAAAATGGAAGGAAAGCGTCTTCTGTGATAACAAAACAAAGAAAAAACACGTGTCTAGCCGAAACGAAGTACATTGATACCACAATTCTCACAACGCAATGCATGTGGGAGTGAGTGAGTGAGTGAATGGGAAACATTATCTATTTTCTTTTTTCTTTAACCTGAAGTTTTAACGCAGCAAATCACACACAATAAGTTGCTTGAAATTCAGAGAAATAACGGTAAATGAACAGGAAAAACGCCATTCAATCACCTTCTATGTATTATCACCACCACCACTACCACCATCAGCACTGGTGCAGATATCCCTCATTCTAGCTGTTGGTGTGGTGGGGTGCGGGGGTGGGGGCGCTCTCTTCTCGTCGCATCTAACAGGAAAAAAATTAATAAACAAGTGTATATCTTTATATATATATATATATAACAGAGAAGGGGATAGTGTTTCCAAAACCTCTCCCCAACATCCCTGCGAAGACCAGTACGTCATTCTGCTCCTCACTTGTCGAGGGATGCAAAGTAGAACGGTAGCACTACATCTCTCCGTGCCCGCACAGGGCGGGATAAGATCTCTGGGCTCAGCTTCGCCTTACTGGGGTCGTCAAAGTACGTCTCTACGTCAAAGTAGCGAAGTGCCTCTCTTCCCCACCCTGGGGGTGGCTGCTGCTGCTTCTGCTCCTCCTTTTCCGCTGCCTCCGCGGTGCTAGGGTTGCTACCATTTTGTAACAACCGCCGCGTTGACTGCTGCTCTGGTGTGTGGGCACCAGCAACATCGTCGGAAGCCTCATAGCTAAGCTGGCGCTCCACCACAATGGGGCATGCAGCGCACATGCCTTCACCGATTCCGCTCAGACGTCTCTTGCGGGTCGCGGTGGAGCCGCTGCCACGCCGCCAGGCATTGTTTTGCGTTGTTTGAGGTGTGGAAGCAATTCCTTGCAGTGCAGGAACCGTGCGAGGCTCCTCCCCTTCCTCATTCGCCACAGTGCCACATACCCCAATGGTGCTGGGGCGCTGCGAGGTGGAACCACGGTGCTGCTCCTCATTCTGCACATGCTGTTTATCCTCGAACGAGTACACCATACTCGAGATAGTCCGTTCACTGGCTACGTTCTTATCCATCTGTTCCTTCTCCTCATCCTCCTCCTCTTCTTTTTTGGACTTTTGCATCTTTTTCTTGGTCTCTTCCTGCAGTTTCTTCTCATCCTGTTTGGCCTTGCGAAGTTGCCGCGCCAACCTGTCCGGTGAGGTAACGTAGTTATCGGCAAAGTACTTCTCTGCCTCCGGGCCCCACCCCAGCCGACACTTTGGTTGCACATCACTCTCTGGTAAAGGCTCCTTCACGGGTGGCGCTGTCTCCTTCACNTTCTCTGCCTCCGGGCCCCACCCCAGCCGACACTTTGGTTGCACATCACTCTCTGGTAAAGGCTCCTTCACGGGTGGCGCTGTCTCCTTTGTCTTTGCAGCACTCTGCCTTGCCCGTGGATTCGGCATAAGCTTGTTAGGGCCAGCAATATAACTGTCAGCAGAATTTTTTTCTCCGTCAAGATCGAGGCCGAGACCACGCCCTGTTGCCTTTGGCTTGCCACTGCCCGCTCCGGTGCTAAAGTTCTCCTCCTCCTCTTCTCTGGCCTTCTGCATCTTTTTCTTGGTCTCTTCCTGCAGTTTCTTCTCATCCTGTTTGGCCTTGCGAAGTTGCCGCGCCAACCTGTCCGGTGAGGTAACGTAGTTATCGGCAAAGTACTTCTCTGCCTCCGGGCCCCACCCCAGCCGACACTTTGGTTGCACATCACTCTCTGGTAAAGGCTCCTTCACGGGTGGCGCTGTCTCCTTCACAGGTGGCGCTGACTCCTTGGTCTTTGCAGCACTCTGCCTTGCCCGTGGATTCGGCATGAGTTTGTTAGGGCCAGCAATATAACTGGCGACGGAGTCATCATGCTCTTCCTGGTCTTGGTCTCGGTGGCGCTCGGTGGCCCTCCGTCTCGCTCCAATCCCCATGGTGCCGATGTTCCTTTCTTCGTCCTCTTCAGTTCCATGCTTTGCATCAGGAGCAGATTTTCGTCTCGAGAGCGTTTTTTCAGCGTCACCAGGAGCGACACGTTTTTCTTCATCGTGCGCCTTCGTCTTCTCCGACGGCTGCTGCCTCTGGGATATTTTCCTGTTTTCCACATCAACGCTCGAAGACGCCTTTGTGCCGGCCCCATTGTCTACAAGTGTCGATGCTACTACTGCTGCAGCCCTGCCGCCTCCCTCCACAGGGGCGCTGATGCAGTGTTTGTTGGGCCCAATAGACGTTGTCGTGCCAGCAGTAGCTGGAATGACATTTGTGGAAGCTGCTCGAGAAACCTCACCGGCTTCCTCCGTTTTTGCCGGTGCTACATCTTTCACTCGCAACCGCATGTACAGCACTTCCTCCTTAACCAATACGACTTGCGTGACGAGGTCTTGCGCAAATATCTCTGCCTTCTGCGAATCGTTGTTCACAAACACCTCTGAGATGGAGATTGTCTCCCGCGTGAGAGGAGGACGCCCATCGCCGCGTCGGGTGAGAAGCCGGATCATCGCATCCTTTGCCAGGCGCCGCACTGTCGTCTCATCTGTGATCGGCACGCGGAACGTCCCCTCCACCTCTTCACCGAGAAGGAGCGAGACAGTGGCGAACTGCGGCTCGCTGGCGGGCATGAAGCGGAGGCCCACACACACCAGCGGTTGAGTGATCCACAAACAAATTCTCTTTCTATAAACCTGGGGGGCGTAATCTGTTCGCCTCCCTCGGACCCAACCTGGGAAGTCCTTTACTGAGGTGCGTGTATTTATGAGTAAGCAGAGATGGAGAGAGTGGGAGAGAGATAAGAGAGAATGTCAAGGAGGTGATATATCGAAGACCAATATTGCTCTTAATGCCACATCCGTGTCAAACGCCAATACCGCAACAAAAATGTACACATGAGTGTATGTATACGTGGCTCTTCAAGAAAGGAGAAAACTCGGCTGGAGAAACACAAATAACAAAATTCTTTCCATATTCCTCCCACCAAAAACCAAAAGGATGAGGGACAAACGGTGCGGGTTGCTCCTCCTCCTCCCCCCTCCTTCTTAGACGTTCGAAGAGGACCGTGGATCGCCCTGTGCCGCTGCCGCGGTGTCAGCACGCTTCTGCATGACTCGACAGAGGAACTCATCAGGCGAAAACTCCCACAGCAGGCGAGCGTACACCAACGCTGGGTCGTCACGCCAGTCGAGGATGGAGCGCAGCACATCTTCCTCTGTAGAGAATGGTGCCTTCTGGAAGATCTGTGGCACTGTATTACGCAGCTCGCTATGTGTCGCAAACACCGGCGTTTCATCCGTGATGTGCAACTTCCGCTTCAGCCGGCGATTGCGTCGGTACGGCGGTGGCAGCATCGCCTGTGCCGCGGAAAGACCATGCGCCCGTGGTATAGTTGGTGTTGTTGCTTCTGATGTCTCATCTGCCTTCTTTGCCGTCCCGCTCTTCTTCCTTTTCTCAGACTCTGTCTCGTTGCTTTGCTTTCTGGGCCTTGCTGAGGAGCCTGCCTCGCTCCTGCGCCGCGACCTGCTATGGACAGTAGAGCTGTTGCCTGTATCGGCATCATCCTCCCCTCTCTCTTCGTCGCTCTCGCCTTCACACTTCGTCTCCTCTTGAGCCTTCAGCGACGACGAAGACGACGACCCAGTGTTTGACGCTCCTGCTGCTGTCGCAGAGCTGCGCTGCGTTAGAGAGCCCATCGATGGCACGGTATGCAGTAGACTACGCGGGTCCCCGCCCGGTGGGAGAGTAGTGATGACATGCACGTTCTGCTGCCCCGCCTTACCCATCTTGATGAGCGGGTCTCTCGTGTACACGAGATAGCTGGTGGGCGGCGAGACAGCGGCGAGACTCGCTGCACCCCGTCGTGTGTGTACACCACTGCTGCTGTTTGGTATGAGTGTGACACTCGTGGTGTTGTCGAGCCAGACGACATCGGCAGTCGGCACAACGGACGGCGGGAGTGCGTCGGTGTCGTCCGGTGGTTTGATCACCGGCTCCCACCCGCGCATCCGCTTCAGCGCCCGCTTGGAGAGTTGCGCCTGCGGCTCTGGTGCATTTGACGGGGGAAGCTGCTGCAGTTCAGGCAGCGGATCCTCCTGGAACTCTGGCTTGGGCTCCTCACTCACACTGGGCGACGGCCTCTCTTGCGGCTTTATTTTGGTCTCTTCTTCTGTTTTGCTATTTGTAGCGGTACTCGCCGGGGCCCGCTTGGAGGTACGCTTCGACCCCATTCCTTCTTTCGTGGTTGTGGGATATAATGTGCGTGCGTACGCGCATAATCCAATAAATGAATACGAAAAAAAAAACAGAAGATTAACAATATATATATATATATATATTGTACGCTTGATGGAACAGTATAAAATGAGAGGCATGAACCACAGTAAAGCAGCATCTTACTCACACACCAACACGTACACACCTACGGAAAGCTACGCAGTTGCAGCCTCACCAGCGTTTTAGACAGAAAAAAAAATCCAACATTGTCCGCATGTGTGCGCGTGTTCCTTCCCGTCCATTCTGCGTGTCGCAGCCTCGGCCATGTGTACCCTTATGTACCCTTCCGGGATATCTGGAATCGTTTGTATGCCCCCGCTGTGATCACGTTGCCCTGTGCGTCTTGCATCTCCTCCCCCTCCTGATCCTCGTGAAGACGCTTACGAAGGTTCGTGGATTTGCTCATCACCTTGTCACGCATCTCAATAACCTTTCGGATAGAAGAAATTCCCTCGTAGTCCTTCAAGTGCAGCATGACTCCAAGCCGCCGAAGTCCTTCTGTGTGACGCTCTGCGCCAAAGTGGTCCTTGAAGGCCTTTGGGCCGATGTAAACTGTGCCACCGCACACCTCACAGTATAACTTCTTGTGGAGCTGCTGAAGCTGCAACAACCACCGTGCTACCGGCTTCCCATCGCGGTCCAACAGCTGCCCATTCGTGTCGTCCACTGCCGCGTCATTATTTTTTGCCTCGTTGCTTGCATTGACCTGACCCAGTGTGGTTATGACGTCGTACTGGGCTGCCTGCGCGACGCTGCCCTCCACAGTTGTTGCACATTTCTTACGTGCCTCCTCCACAGAGCGAATAAACTCTTCTTCCAGGTGCTTCCGCTCCCACTCTAGTTCCTCCACAGTCTTGCTATAGTCGCGCAGAAGCACCTTGGCTGTCTCTTGCAAGGTCTCAAACAACAACGTCTGCAACAACATGACAACTTTACCCTCAGCCAGAATCACAGCTTTGATCTCAGAAAGGGACGGTGAAGTTTGTGCCTCGTCGCTCTCCTTTGCCAGGGTCTCCACGTGGGTCACTGGCCACAACCCAAACGCCTTGATGTACTTTCGTAGCGGCGGCGGCACAACCAGTGAAGAGGCACACTTCTCTGTAGAAGGTGCACCGTCACCACTGCTGGCGCTCTTCACTACATCTTTCTTGCATTCCAATAGCTTAGACCAGAACTCCTCTGCGTCGGTCTCGCACCTGGCGAGTGATGCAAGCAACACATCCTTCTCCATAACCTTCACCCGCCCGTAGAAGTCGATGAGGTATATTAGCAATTCCTCCACAAACTCCTTATATAACTCGAAGCCGTAAACCTTTCGGTGCGCGTCGATGTCATTGAGAATGATGTTCGGTATCGCTGGAATGAATGCGAAGTACTCCACGCGCCCTTCCCAGGTACTCCCAATAGCGTCGTTCGCCTCCTGCGCCCGCTTACTTGTCGCCAGCATGAAGCTGCTATAGCGGTGGTAGTGCGGCTCCATGTCGAGGCAGCTGCCGTAGCGCTCCGCGACGCTGAAGAGCGCCTCCAGTGAGGCAGGATCAGGGTGGTCGAGCTCACTTCGCACCGGTGGCAAGTCTCGAAAGGTGCGGTGGTACTCGCGGATGTCGGCGATCTGCGCCTCAAATTCCTTCAGCGCGGCGTTCAGCACGTCGTCACCCTCCGACGGCGCCTCCTGAGCGGTGACGATGTCGTCCTGATCAAAGTAGAGGTCGAGCAGCTTGTCCGCGATTGGGCCGATTGCCTCCGCCTGCCGCACGATGAAATGATCCCGCAGGGTTTGGTGGCGCACGTTGGTGACGTCCACCAGCAACTTTTGCTGCACAATGTTGTCTATGTGGTGCTCGATATCGGCTTCGAACAGCCGGATTGTCTCCAGCACCCCACCGAACATTGCGTCCTCCTTGGTCTTATCCCTTGTGTTCTCGCCCCTCTCTCTCACACACACTCACCCACTGATGCGTGCGCCCGCCACACCCTTTTCGTT